GAAGAGAGTGAAACCTCACTCTGTTCATCCTCCAGCCTCTGGTAATGTGTGGCTTGATGGTGGCAGTGGAGAAGGAAACTTTTTTTCTGTAGTGATTTCAGAAGTGACTCAAGTCTTTGCTGTCTCCAGAACTGGAGTACCTTTGTTTTGCTGCTCTCGATGATTTCTCTCTCTCTCTCATCAGGAAACCACCCTCTGATGCCGTTGTTTAAGCACACAGAACATGCTTCTCAGCACTAAACAGACCTCAAAAGTCATGGCAAGGAACAGACTGTTCCCTACTGTTTGGTTTAATATTGAAATATCAGCAAAATTAGCTGTTCATACACATACACACTTGAAATCACTGTGCTCATTCAAATGCTGAAACTTTCCTTGTCACAATTTGTGAAGAGACCAAAGTAAAGGACGGTCTGCCACTGACCTGCAGTGTTACCAAGTTGTGTAAACTTGACTTGGTTTCTCAAGCGATAGAATGGGACACAGGGTACCTGCCTCTCCATGTAGAAGTGCCTTCAGATTTGCAGATGAAAAGTGCTCTACTAGACGTAAGGACTATTATTTTTTGTAGCCTAATGCAGATTGGTGGCAAGGTGGTGGCTTTCCCTTTGATTGTTAATAACGCTTTTTTATTATACCCTGCATAAGACACTTTCACATTTTAATTAGTGATATCCTGTTCTTTGTAATTACTGATGGAATGATTAGACAATCTTTTTTATTATAGCACTATGCTGATTCCCCTTTAAGGAGTACATTTGTTCCTGGGCACTGTTTGAGTTTATTCTCTAGAGGAGGCTCTGAGCAGGTGATTTTAGTACGTATGCCAGTGCAGTGAATAAGGAAGGGGGAATCCATCCATCTCTAACACTGGGTTGATTCCAGCATTGGGTATGCTGACCCATATCTCAATTACTGTGCTGGGTATTTTCACCTGGGGACAGCCGAGGATGTAACTGGCCGGTTGCAGAAATGATGGCCAAGGTCTGTGCCTACAGAATCTGTTCAGTACTGCTGATCAAAGTAACATTTCTCTGAGATGGGCGCAGTTGCAAGGGCTGGGGACAGTCCCAGTCTGGCTTTTGCTGACTTTTCTCTGTGTTTCTCCAAAGCTGACCAGTTTTGCATGAACAAACAAAAACATGGAGTGACGTATGGCTGGTCTTGCATGTGTCGTGGTGAGTGCCTCCTATTTGCACCACAGATATTCCAGGGCAGGCAAGGGACTATGTTTATGGCACTTCCCATTGTCAGATTCAGTAAACTAAATACAGATGAGGTTTCCTCTGAGCTGGTCACCTATTATGGTTGATGTGATAACAGGCAGAAGAGTCTAGGCCAAGATTCATCTCTCCCTTCTGTACTCAAATGCCTCTGGGCAGATGAATTGCAGCTTTGTTTCTCCCTATTGACCATATGTGGTCATTTCAGCTGCACAGACCAAATTAAACCATTCCCACCCCTTACTTGGCCCTCAGCATATACCTTTGGACCTTGTTTCCCAATCATTTAAAAGAAAACTGTTAATCCCTTTTTCATTTGTGTTTAGCCTGTGCTGTAAGAGGAACAGGGCTCTACCTAAAAGATACTGCGTTGCCAATGGTAGTACAAATGATTGTGCTGCTCCAAAGACAATCTCCATTTTGCACTCAGCAGAGCTAGGCAATCACTTGTGACATTATTTACAGCTTATGCAACTTCTTTTCCTGCTTATGGATGTCTCTAAGCTGTTCAGAGTTAACTCCACAGAGGCAGGTGCTCCTTCTGGTTTGCAAACAGTAATCTGAGTGTGTGGCTTCTTGTGAATTAGAGGGCTTATAAATTTGCACTGCATATTTGTAGAATATACCTCAGCTACATGCATGCTTCTTTTTGCAGTGCATCTATAACTGAACACAGCCACATACCCCAGTTAACTGACTTTGCTGCCTTGACTAAAGGGAGGACCCCTACTACGTCTCAGCCACATCTGGACATTACAGCCCTCGGCAACACTCCTGCTGTCGTGTTCCCATTTGTGCCCCTCCTTCTCTGTTGGAGGTGCTCAGGGGTTAATGTTAAAGGGGAATGGGAGCAAGGTCCTCCCCAGTTGCTGATGGTGACAGCCTGGCCAAGTGCAGCAGCATTGAAGGGGTGGGAGGATAGGAACTTTGTCACCTTGAAAGAAGCTGACTGCATAACCTACCTCCTTTCCCCCAGGGTGGTGCCAGGGAAATTTACAAAAGAAGGGCAAGTCCTGTAAGGGTCACCAGTCTCCCTTATAAAACCTCTGGGGGATTCCCAAGTGAGCTCAACTAAAAGTCACCCCACTCCTTCCCCAGCTCCCTCTGAAGACAAATGTCCCATCCACTCTCCTGTCACTTTGAAAGAGGCCCAGTGTATGGTCCCAGTTAATAAAACTGTAGAAAGTGAGGCAGTGACCCCACCAGAGGCAAATCAATAGCAGCAGGGCCCCTGGGTATTGTGTACTTTAAAATATGCCATTTGAAATGCAGATTTTCTCTGCCTGGGTTGGGGCCACAGCACTAATCAGAAAGGCAGCAGCCTTATTTTCTCCGACTGATCCAAGGGGACGGAGAGGAGCTTTTCCCTTCCTCAGCTGAAAGGACGTATTCCTTTTGCTTCTCTTACTTCCTTGGCACGATCTTTGCCTCAGCATTTAGAGCTTTTTCCCATCCAGTTCTATAGATTTGTCCTCTCTTCTGTCCAACCTGGCCTTTACTGTTTCTCAGATTTTTATCTTCTGAGGAGGCAGGAGATGCTCCCATACTGATTCATGCCCATGGGTAGCACCTCAAGAGCTATGAGCCTGCAATCCGCATCCCAAGGCCTGAGAACTTATGAGGCAGTTGGAAAGGCACTAGAAACATCCCAAAGTATGGGGAAGGGTGGTAGTGATGGCTGGTCAACAGAGAGAGCTGGGAGAAGTAATCTCACACACCTTTTTCCTACCTCAGGTATAGCGAGCTCTGTCATCAATGGATGGATAAGCAACTCCACAGGCTTATCCATCCTATTCTAGCATGGGGGATTAAAATAAAAAAAAAAGAAAATAATGCAGTTTTGAGGCACAGCTACACCAAAGTAAGAGCCTGCTGATGCACATTTCCCTCTCCATGTTTGTAGCTGGATAGATGCAAGTCCAGTGTTGCCAAGCACCAGCTCAGGAGCAACACCAGCAAAAAAACATGCTGCTGTTCCTCCCAGAAGTGATTCCCTGTGTGCTCACAAGTCAAGTGGTGTAGGGTGAGAACATGTGGCCAGAGATGGGGTTGGGAGTGGGATGATCTCCTCTGGCATCAAGTGACTGTTAGGCAGCAGGGTCGTGCAGCTGCACTCCACAAAAGGAAATGTTATCCTTTTCTTACAGGAGGAATAGGTGCATGGAGGGAGGAAGTGACTTACTCAAGGCCAAAACCTCCTGCTAGAAATAGGTCAAGGACTCTACAGCCTGACTTTCCCAGCCCCGCAAAGAAATAGATGTGAAACTGAAGAAGGGGAAGAGGGGGAGAGGGATTATTTCTGATGTACCCTTTTTGAAATAGCATGATCATTACCCTTGGAGAAGGCTTGCTCTGAATGATCTGATGACCTTCTCATTTTTTCGGTGTTATTTTCTATCCTTGTCTCTGAGCCACGCGACGTTTTGTTTGACTTTTCATATTCTTCATTCAGTAATAATAATAAAAGTAATAACTGCATCCCACGCTTCCCATCTCTAACGATCTATACAAACACTTAGCTAATTAATCCTCATGGTATCCCTTACAAAGTGGTAAGTAAAGTGATCAATCAAGCAGTAAGAGGACTCATATTTGGTAAAATCACAGAACTGACAAATTCATGTCTGTTTTACCTAA